TCAGTATGAATTCTATGTATAATTGTCCGGCTTAATATGTAACATTTGGACGTAATTTTATTTATTATACTTAATGTAGTTTTCAGTAGTGTTAATCATGATATGTGTTTCCGCCTGTTTGATATTCACTATTGAGATGTACCTTCATTTTAATGTTACACTACTCACCACTATCAATAATGTTGTATGTTAAAAGAGACTGATGAAATTCAACCTTGAATATTACTGACTAGAAATACAAAATCCTAGAGATAGTAGTTATTATTATTATTACTATCATTTTACACGCCTTTTCCATATCATCTATTCTTCCAGTTAACTTGGCATGAAATAAAATGGATCCAGTATCTTTACTAATGACTACTTATTAGTGTATTACAGAATGAGTAAATATGGATTGTAAAAAAACGTGATTTCAACAGTTTTGTTTATATTATCAAGATGGAGCATTTTTTAAATCTAGTCTTGAGCTAGAAATCATTACTTTGATTGAAAAATCTAGTTAAAAACAAGAGCATACAATAATAAGTGTCTTATTATTTCAAAAAGATTACTAGAAAACTGAAGATAAGGGAGTGGTAATTAATACCAATCAGATGGTTGGTCACTATTTTATTTCGAGAGATAAAAGTATTTGAAAAACCATAGAAAACTGATCATCGTTTGTCTGGGTTCATAGTTAACCGATATTCGACTAAAATTCTACTGATATTAATGTTTCTCAATTATGGTACTTAACTAATCATCTGCATGATTTGTGTATTTAAAAAAATGTCCAGTAATTATTCATGTTTTCTCTAAGTGAAGTAAATTAAATGAATTAATAAATTAGAAATAAAATGGTAAACTCGTTTTATTTTACAAATGAAAAGGTCACTCATGAGTTGTCCATAAACATACTTCTTAATGTCTATTAAGCATTTTGTATTATATCCTGAAAATTACAATAAAGTTGACATTTATGATTCAACTATTATTTACATTCATATTTTGTGGAATAATGAGCACAAAACTGAAATTCTTTAAAATATTTACTTCTTACTCTCATACTTATATAATACATAAAAAGGTATCGCTATTTCATCCATTATCATGATTATATAATTACTGAGTGAGTTCACATGACTGATTATTCTAAAAAAAGTTTAGAGTGATAAACAAATTTTTGTTTTCTAGAAGGAAAATCTTCAAATAATGAACATCATACTAATTTTATTCCTTTGGTAGTTATTCCTTTATTTTCCTACTATTTCTCTAATAAATCTTTTAACTACCATTTTGAAATAATAAAAATAAATGAAACTAGGTTAGATATTTGTTATTGTCATTATTATTGTTACTATTATTATTATTATTTCTGTTATCTTGGGAATTTTCATTCAAAAGGAACAATTATCCTTTTTTTCAAAAAAAAACAGAGAAGAATATAAACAAATCAAATATAAATTATAATCAATGACAAGTAATTACAAAAGAAGTAAAATACAACTAGAAAAATAAAGTGAATTATAACCAAAATAACAAAATAATACTTTGCATTTATTCTTATCTACTTGATCCATTAACTTTACTCACTCATCATAATAACTATAACATTTGATCCAATCAAAATAATTTAATGCTTATATATTATATTAATATTGTTTAACTGAATAGAAAAGATCGTTTATTTAGGGTTTCTTTCATAGTTTACCTGTCTATTCATTTATTGATTTTATTTTTCTTGACGGTTAGTTATTTTAGTTTTTTTAGAATGGTTATATACTTCTTTTAAGATATATATATATATATATATATATATATATATATATATAATGTGTATGGGTATACTATTTTATATTTTCTTTGGTTGGCAATGAATACTGACAAAAATCTTTTGTACAGATCAATTTAGCCTATTGAATAGATCAATATATCTATATTTATTTATTTGTTTATTTATTTACGTATTTGTTTACAGTAAATAATGTTTTCTTAAAAATGATAAGGGTTTGATTGAAAGTCTATTTTATTAACATTTTGATGATACTTTTAACAGGTTATTTTCTAACAAGACAGGTCAAGGCACAAGTAACTCTATCTTGGCATTCCTGGTCATTTGGTAGATCATTTTGTGTGACTTATAGTATGCTATCGTCATTTTCCAACAGGGTTCCATTCCATCTCTTATACTTTTAAGCATGTGAATTTCACTATTTTCTGTTTGATCAACTCTATGTTACATAACATAGAAAATCATGTTATTCAATATTTAAGGACATAATCGATGTCCTGTTTGATGTAAGTTTTATTTACACTTAAAGGTTTTAAATAGATTATTTAATATTATGCAACATTTCCAATTGTGATTTGTTTTTAAGTGTACATTTTTACAAATGAAATAACTGACTAACAATATCCTACACTATACGTTAGGGATGTCAATTTAAAAGGTATTTTCTTGTAGTTAATCTTTGGCATTTGCTAATGAACTAATAATGTCCATTTTGGCAAAAGAATAAATTATCTCTGCTTGCTACTTCAATGTGTATCTACGAAGTCATCTGCTTCTATGGAGACAGTTACATTAGGCGTACTACCAGGCAACTTAACCAACAAGTAAGTATCTTTCAGGTTATTTTCTAACAAGACAGACCGAGGTATAAATAACACTCTCTTGGCATTCCTGGTCATTCGGTAGATCATTTTGAGTGACTTATAGTATGCTATCGTCATTTTCCAATAGGATTCCATTTCATCTCTTATAGCTATAGGGATTCGTGACTCTTATTTTCCTTCCTTTTACCGGATACAAATTAACAAACGATTTCATTAACATTTTCATATCTCGTATTTGCCCGTTGTTTTACACCATCCGTTTATACTGAACACTATTTCATGATTTTTACACTTACCACATAACTTTATTAATGTTTTATGACTACTAATTTAAATTCTATTTATCCAAGTTTGACTTATCCCGCATATTAAACAATTGATTAGAACTTTTATGATTCTTATCATTATTTGTACACCTGTCTTCTCACAGTTAATTATTTTTTTACCTGTTATCTGTAGTTATACTATCTATTTTATTGTAATCATTGGCATATAAACAACTTGAATTGGTTAAATGGGAAAATCACTGATTTCGATAATCACTTTTTATGATCAATATATATAGTCTTTTTTAAATAAATTTAAAAAGAAAGATAAATTCTGACAAATTATATGGAAATGATGCTTTCTGTCTCGAGAGAGTATTCAATCGTTGACTGGATCCAACTAAGTTTTGAACAACTTTTAATTATACGAATAAATCATTTTATTATTATGTCAAGTTAAATTTATTCACTAAGTAATTAAATCTTTCAGCTCATCTGATAAATTAGACTTATTAAATCATTTAGAGAGAGAGAAAGACATAGACATATCATATACTGTATTTTATTTCAACCGCTACATTTTTCTTAGACAATAGCATCTAAATGATTTTCTATCTGAAGTAGACCATTGACCAGTTATCATAATGTAATAATTTAAAATATTGTAAATTATAAATAGATAGATAGATTTTAGGTGCTACAGTGAAAGTTGAATTTTGTAGTTTATTGTTAGATGCTTCTTTTATATCTTGTCAATAGATTGAAGAAAGATAATATCTATTATCAAAATGGGTTTTTGTGGAGAGTTTAAGAAATTTCACAAGTTGAAATCATGAGTGGTGCGGGATCGTGGATGCGCACTGCTGAGGAGTCCCATACCAGGACGAAACGGCCGTCCAGTGCTTTCAGGTTTTCAATGGTGGTCTAGCTTCAACTGACTCATGATTTCAACTTGTGAAATAATATCTATTGTTGTTTATCTTTATTCTTCGATTATTGATACTTAATCCCTAGTGATTCACAATTATATATATACTGTGTTGTTACTTATTAAATCTTATTCAAATTTCAGTTTTTATTGCATTTAAGTAGAAATTTTATTCTTTATCTAGGATTAAACATTAAAATATTGTAATCGAAATAATTAAAACATTAATCATACATTATATTTAAAGATTTATGTATACATCTATCTGATATGAAATGAATTAGACAATTACAAACGATCTAATAAAAGAATTCAACCAATATTTCAATTTTTTCTTATCCCTCAGGACAAAAAACTATATTTTCTTTTCTTCAAAAGATTACACAATAACAGATTGTTACTTATATGAGTTGGAAATTTCAAATTTCAAACAAGCTTAATTCAAATTGTTTTCAGAAGGGGTTTTGTGGAGATTTTAGAAATTTCACTGGTTGAAATCATGAGTCAATTGAAGCTAGACCACCATGGAAAACCTGGAAGCACTGAACGGCCGTTTCGTCCTGGTATGGGACTCCTCAGCAGTGCGCATTTGTTTTACCTATTCACATACTTAGACTAGTATTGAAGTCAAAATATTTAGATCAAAATAAAATCTATTTACAATAAACATCAATACTATATTTCAATAGACTATATATATATTGCTGTTTCATCGAATTTTCATTGCATAATGTCATTGATCATTATCATTTTGTTTTAATAGAAACAGTTATGTATTACATTTTACATTTAAAGCCTTCATACCTAATCTATCTGATAAAGTTATGAAGTTGTTAATTTCAACAGTTGAGATCATGAGTCAATTGAAGCTAAACCACCATGGAAAACCTGGAAGTAGTTAATTAACAATAATATCCAACAGCATATACCGAAAATGATTATAATTATGAACATTTTATGCGTACAAGTACATGTATATTCTCATTCATAATAAATTCAATTGAATTAAGATAGTGGATAAACTTGTTGTTACAAGATTACTTTTGTGTTTTTAAATTATTTTCTATGGTTTTATTAACAATCATTAATATCATTATTGTCTTAACTGTTGTCTAATTAAAATACATCAGTGATTTTATTGATTTTCTCTGATGTTGATTATTTTATTTATTAATACAATATTTGATTTCGTTAACCCTTTTTTTTAGTTCGTGAATTACTTAGCAGTGGAGTCTGTCCAGATGTAGCCAACGAAGATGGATTAACAGCATTACATCAGGTAATCTATTTATAAGCTGAATATTATAGAAAGATTAGTCAACAATATATTTTTTATTGATTAATATATTACTAAAGGGATTATTAATTATAAGTTGATTGTTTATCAACTAAACCAATTGTGATTTTATTCATCTAACAGTCTGCCCCCAACTAATACTTATTATTACTTAGATAATACGGTTTAAAATTAAATCCTAACTACTAAATACTGTGCATTACATCATATTCCTGGTAATTTAGGTTGAAACGACTGTAATAAAGTGACGGGTTTATGCTTTATACTTCCTTTCGGTAGTCTACATCAATGTGTTGCACTTGTGAATCTGTCGATTTAATATCTGTCGATAAATATGCTACAAGAGTAACCTAATTTTTGCAAGTACAAATGTGTAAAATCCAATTAAATTATATTGATTAGTCTCATATTTCAGATCACATAACATTCATTTTAAATTGCTGTGAGTTTATCATCAAAGTTCACCAATCTACAAACTTCTAATTTATTTCCGATCATTGAAATGAGTCTTATTTACATTTATTATACTAGATCAACTTAATTACTAAAACAACTCTTTTGTAATAGGTATTAAGTTTGTTAATTATTAGTTGGAACGACATCTATCTACATATAGAAATATCACTTATTTGATAGAAAGTGTCCGTTATGTATATACAGCAATTGTAGTGGGGACAGGGTGAATATAACTATCAAACCATTCTATTCGATCTTGTTTTTTTAAAAAGTATTTTGCTAAAATTAAATTATAAATATCCAGTTTTCTGAAATTATTCGTTATCAGTGTTGTAAAATTGGCACAACCACGAATTTTGTTTAATAATGCATAAACTGAGGAAGTACTGTTAAGTATTGGACAATCGAACCTAATTATATTTCGTGTTTACTAAAATTGGAAGATAACCGGAAAAGTAAACATATATTCTAGTGTAGATAAATATAGAAACACTTACAAACACTATTACCCTATTATTTATAGTGCGTAATATTTCCTCTGTTACTGTCACCGAATAATTCTGTATAAAGCCATCATAATTATTTATCATAATATTCGATTTTATCACCATCTATTAACGAAAATAACTGAGAAAAACAATTCAGAGTTTAAACTGACTCAATTCTAGTTATATTTTGTTTTATTCATAAATCAAAATGTTTGCATATGATTGTTTTTTAACCCAGTTTAGTTAAAAGTACTATTTTGAGTATTCTTATATATGATATTTTTATGCTATTATATAACCTCTTAGATTTATAGTATTTTTCATGATTATATATTATGATTAGTAGTAGTTGAGAGGTAAAAAGTATGAGAAAATCAGAGTCTTACGTCCTTTAGCCCGTCATTTATCACCTGAAAAAATCGTTAGTCAAAATACCAACGTATGCAACCTTGGCCTTATGTCAAAGTAATGACGCGTTAATCACCACAAGCGGCCTAGAGTCAACTCTGAGTTATTATTGGTTCTTCTTGTTCTGCTGTGCCCGTTGAGTGAAGAACACAATTATAGATTTTACTGTATGAATCATGTATCTAAGACATAAACAGTTTATATACGAGCAAACTAGACCGCATCACACCATAAAATACAAAATAACAATTATACAAGATCAAGCCGAAAGTGATTGTGTGTCTGAGAGACTAAAATAAATAGATCGGCAATAAGTTAAGAATGGTAAATCGTATCGCGATAGCCAGTAAACCAAATGAAAGAATACGTATATATATAGTTAATAATTATTCAATAAGGCTATATGTAATAGTAGCTCATAAATAATCCCTAGCAGTTACTATTCATTTATTGTTTGTTAGGATGCAACACAGAGGAAAAGAAAAATAGAACCTGTTTATGCGCATGAAACATGATATTTGTTGTTTGATCAGTGCAATAAATAAGTGAATTGAGGTCGTTAAACAAAAGTTCCTCATATATCAATCCTTCTTTTTTTTAAAGTACTTTTCTTGTGCATCAATGAATATATTTTATGTTTGTTTCCAATATCCAAATATTAATACATATAAATAGTTTATCATTACTGAATTTGGTGTCAGTCAATTCGTTTTTTTTTTTTGAATAAACGAATAACTGATTTTTCTCTATCTAAGTCTATATTCCAGAAAAATATTTCCGCTTAGATTCCATACAAAACGTCAAATTGCGTTTCATTGTGATTCAGAACATGTAGCTAGCTATCATGAAGATATGTTTATGACAAGACGATAATATTTAATAAATCCAGAAATAATACACAGTATCCTGTATTATTTAATCTATCGATTTTTGATTTAAAGTTTATAAAAAAATACCAAAAGCACAGAATCTGACAATTTAAAAAAAGTGTACTTTTAAAATGAATAAATTTCAAAAACACAAAATTAGTACGTATAATACATAAATTTAAAAGGAATAAAATGACTTGTGAACAGTAAACATATGCAGCTAACTTTGATAACATAATACATTGATTTGAGTAGAAAACAAATAATATTTTATATCCATTTTATTGTAGTTAAAAGTACCACAGTAATTCGATAACTTCCACGTAAAAATAATTAAAGTTAGACTAATTGAATGTAATGGCAGTTTACATTCAGAAAAATTTGCTTATCATAAGAAATATGAATCAGATATTTTACATTCTTTAAAAGATCTTGATATTTAGCATTCTGTGTTATATGTTGTAGGACGTAAAAGCTTTCTTTTCAGTGAATAAACAGTATACTTGATTTTCTGTATAGTAACCAAGTTTCAGTTATTTTTCGAAATCATATTTGACACACTTTTATTCTTCATTGTTGTTATGATTACTAAAATGTCCTGCTTTATTCAAATATAAGATTGCATACATTTACTAATATTAACTTCTATGGTAAAAACTAGACAGTTATTTAGTGCATTGTTTTTCTTTTGATTTGCATAAGACGCCAGTATATAATGATAATTACTTTCAGAGGAGCATAATTCTAAAAGAGAATAACAATATCGCATTTCAATTTGATAACCAAAGAAACTTATTGTATTTTCGAAAAAAAAGCCAAAGACAGTTTAGAGAAAGCAATTTTTCCAGTAATATCATTAACTAAATCTGCACAATTAGAATAAAGAGTGGTACTGGGTCATGAGTTACACGGAAATATCAAATATCGAAATGAGGTTATGCAATGCTATAACGGCTAATGAAAATAATGTTAAGGTACAAATAGTTGATTATTGATAGATAACTGTTCACTTGATGAATGTTATGAACTGAATAATAGTAGTTAATAAATGATTACAGCAAAACTAGAATATCATCACTGTAATAGATTACTGAGTATGGAAGATAGGTAGAGAAGTTAAGACCGCAGTGGGAAAAGTGATTGAACATAGTACATTTGTACAAATAAGTTGGTCTTCAATTGGTCGGTTTCTAAAGCTTCTGTTTTAAGTAAGTTTAAAGTAACACAACTTCCTTTTTGATATTTTTAAATAATCCATTGTCCAATGCCAATTTATTTTTTAATAGACTGCCATTAACATATATTAAGTCAGCAAAAATATGACTTAATAGCTTTAGTAAGCAGTATCATTGGAAAGAAAATTCCCTTTTCTGAATTGATTTTAATTCTACACAGATTAGATCTATAGCGTTATCGTTACATTTTTACTAATTGTCTATAGACTAATGAAGTTTAATGAATTCGGAAGATGTAATTAGACATAGGTTAGACAGTATCATAGATGATAGTACCAGTTGCGTAATGAATAAACAAATGATTGTTGGATTCCAATCTAAATAGTTTTATTCCATCGATAAGTTTCGAAAAAGATAAAAGTCACTTCCTAAATCTCACTTTTGTCCCCTTATTTACTCAGAACTTTCACACAGTTTGCCATTCCTGAATGATGTATAGTTGTTTCTCACTCAATTTATCGAACATTTTCGACAACTACACTGCATATTATGAAAATAGAAAATACTCATTATAAAAGAAATATTGTCACGAAATATCTCTACTTTATATTAATTTATCCGCCCTTTTTTTAGATTTTTCGCTTGTCATTATTTCTACCGATTAGTTCAAGATAATTAATTTGATCAGAAAAACAAACTAAAGTTTAAATTATTGTTTTATCATGCGAAGAATTCTCTTCTAAACAAATAATAATAGAAAAGTCCTTGAATGTGTTTGATGTGAATATTGATCAGTATCGAATGAAATCATTAAGGAAACGAAATATGATACATAATCCCTTTTGTTTAATTGTACTGACCTAGTAACTCCTAAGACATTCTGAAAATAAAATATAGTTTTTGAAAAATGTTTCAAGACACAGGAATTCAACTAATGTTTACTAACATTAGGGTTTGCCTGATATCTTTTGTTGTTACGGCTTAAATGCAAATGAAGCTGTAGACGATTATTCAGAATAAATATTGTAGCAAACATTATTCAACAAGATTCAAACAGCCAATTATTGAACTAAGTACTTAAGTGGTTGATGCGATGACGTTTGAAGCGGACAGTACTGGGTTCGAGTCCCGTTATGAACATGAAAGCTGCGATTCAGGTTCATCCAGTTTATGGGTCCCGGACCTGGTGAAAAACGCATCCTGGATTCTACTGCTAGGTACTACAAATATCTGCTTACATTACTTGTTACTTAAGGCAATATCGAAGCAATCTGCACTGGATAAAGATTTGTTGAAAAAAAGCACTGATTAATTACAATCCTAACCATCAGTCTGAAGATTCAGGCAAACAATACAAATGAACATAATTCGTTTAAAACAAAATCTGCATCCAAATATCAATAAATCACCTCAGATAGATATCATAAATATTTTGTAGTTTAATCGAAATGAAATGTGCCTAATGATTCATGCAATTATATCAAATTCTCGCTAGATTTATGATGGTTCTTGAATTCAAACATGTTTGTAATCAATCTTACCATCAAAATATAAGCACATATTATTTTGCCATATATATATATATATATAATGAATTCGTTTTGTTCCTTGAGCTGTATGGTTTGGTTGTGGAGCTCTCATCGTTCATCTGAACGACATCATCAGTACAAACTTCAGGTAGAAGTTGCATTATTATTACAAAAGGTTAAATATATTCTATTAATAATTGGTTTGTTAATATTTTGAGCTTATTCTGATAAGAAAATTTGTTATGTAACAATGAGTGTTACACATTAGTAGTTGGTATGAGTTAAATACATAAATGCTCTATTAATGAAACCAATAGGTATTATGTTGACAAAAACGTGATCGTATATAAAACATTTGACTGTGGTAGGTAAAAGGTCATTTAATACGATATATATATGATGAGAATCAATATGATTTATGCTCCAATAATTGAGATAAGTATCACCTTCCGTTTAATTGTTTTTACGAAAAGTTTACAAACAACTTTTATTTATACTTTACAAAAACAAATAAAATAGATTTTCTAGTTACTTTATTAACTTTTATGTTCTTTCGTTTAAAAAAATTTTTTTACAGTGTTGTATTGATAACAATTTGGAAATGTGCCGGTTACTTCTTCGTTATGGAGCAAACCCTAATTCTCGTGACACAGAACTATGGACTCCATTACATGCGTCAGCTACATGTCATCATACAGAGATGTGTAAAATTCTAATTGATCAGTAAGTCACAATTATATTTTGGTTTAATTTTTTTTACGATTTGAATAATTTATGAAGTGGGACGGAAAGGTTTCATAGAGTTAATTTAAAGCCTTTTGGTTAGATGCACTGAGCAAATTTTTCGTCTTGATTTAAGTGAAGGAAAAAAATCGAGAGAATTATCTTTAGTAAATCAATCAACATGAAATGATCTACATTCCTGAATGTATAACGTGAAGATTATCTTACGTCATTTATGATATTTCCATCACTCCCAGTGTAGCTGAATTTCACCATTCAACATTTCCAACCGGAACACATTCCAAAACATATTACAAAAAACAAATGATCATATTTCCGCTGAGATTTTAATGGAGTTTGGCTTATTTCAGTTAAGAAGATACGACATCTTTGAAATTTACTACTTAAGTCACAAATCGTTTCCATTATCTCACTTCTATCTGTTAGGTTACGAATAATAGAAGGATAGTCTGCCAAACTTATAAGATAGAAAACGAGTGATTGTACAATCAACACTTTATCTTCATTGATCCTTCAGCTGATATCAACAGTCGATTGGAATATATCTCCGTCGGTATAACCTTGCTGATTTGTTTTCCCACACAGCTACAAAATCAATCATCAGAAGTATTATGTCTTGAGACACTAAGCAACATTACGTGATATAATGCTTAAACAAAATTCGGATTACTGATTGCTTTGCCGATATCGCCATAAGAACCAGTGACCTAGGAATCAATTGACACAGTAACCAATTAACAACAACCAAGACCTTTATGTTTGTTGTTTTCAAACTCCTAATCCATTTCTCAATCAGAAAATGCAAATTAGAAGTAAACTATTTCTCTATAGTATTCAATATAACCATAACTCAAAATACATACATGGAAAGCCTGATCATATAAGAAACCGTGTTACAAAACATCATATCATAAATGATAGGGAGTGTGGCAAACAGTAAATTAATGGTAATTAAAGAATATTAATGCACATAAAAATGGTCAAGAATTCCAGTGAACTTCTGCAGTAAGGTAAAATATAGAAATACAACAATGCAGTTACTTTGATTATATATAGTTGGACAATAAGAATGAATACTGATTATGTGAATCCGTTAACTTCTTTCCAAATATTCCTTTTTTACGCAGTAACTAATAAGTAAACTAACACAAATTATAAAATATCTGATCATGTGTTCGATGAAGATGAAAGCCATTTATTTTACTTTTTATGATACTAAAGTTTGATTGGTTGATTAATGAAGAGGAAGAAAAAGATAAGTATTTATATCAAAAGTTGAAATCATGAGTTAATTAAAGCTAGACCACCATGGAAAACATGGGAGCACTGGACGGCCGTTTCATCCTAGTATGGGACTCCTAGGACCCATCAGTCTCGCGTGCGAGCGCCTAACCATTAGACAACTGGGCCGACATCCAACAGTGTTAATGTCTCACTTCAACTAATCCACGAAATTGCGCCACCGTACACCATTGTCTTCAGTGAGCTGATATCTCACAACAGACCTGATTGAAATCCAGTGGTCACGGCTTCTCATTAAAACTCCAGAAAATGCCTCTTGGAGTTAGTCACGAGTGAGCAGATGATTATTATCAGAAGGGGTTTTTGGAATTTCGCGGGGGGCGGGGTCTTGGATGCACACCGGTAATGATAAATACCGGTTTAATTTCATATATATTTCATTTTATGTTTTTAATCACTTTCTGTTCTCTTCAATTCGATTTTCTTAGACTTCTGCTGCAAGATTTTTCGCCTATTTATGTTTCATACTACTTAAGTTGACAGATATGTGTGATACACCCCTATATTATTTAGTTATCTAATTAACCACAGAATGTCATAGATAAGATGTAACTGAAGATTCGTTACTTAAATCTTGAATTAGATTAAATTAAATCAATTATTTTCTTCTTTCAATATAGAATACGACTATTAGAATTCCTGCACTAATGTAAAATACTTTTCAGACCTTCGAACAAATTATCGACCAATTTTTTTGTAAAATGTACTTATGATCAATTTTTTTTATAACTGTGATAACAGAATAAATGTACTATGGGACAGAAATTAGATAGAGAATTAAAAAGTAATGTTGGTTGGCAATTAGCTAATTTTTGTTTTATACAAGTAAATATACTTACATTTTTATACTTAATTACATTTTCATAAATAAATACATTCTCCAGTACATAACAATAAAATACACGTATATATGTAAAATACAAAATTATAAAAATAAAAAAAATAAAATCGGATCAAAATTTTTTTATATTCCGTTTTTTTCTGTTTTTTTTCCTTTTGGAGAGTTTTTTTATAATTTTTTTCTTAAAAATAAAAAAAATATTTTTTTCTAGAGATATTTTAACTTTGTCAATATTTTCAATGAAAATTATTCATATTTCCAAGTGTAATATTAATGATTATCAATGATTATTGATGAAAGTGAAGTGTTAGTTTGTTGGTTAGTATACTCGACTTTCAATCGATCGATTACAAATTCGAATTGTAATTCGTTTATTTTAGCTTGGACAGCAATACTGCTCATAGCAAAAATTGTGTAGCTTTAAGCTGAGTTAATAAAATTTTTACTTGGTAAATTAGCAGCAAAATGATGATAATAATATGGAGTAATACCTTAATAAGTCATACCATGTACCATTGGTGAAATTCTTAGCCTATAATACCGGTTAGCTAGTAATATTTTATGTAAGCCAATAATTTATTTAAATTTTTGTCAAGCTTATAAGAATGATGATACCATTCATGTAAAGTTGATCAATATATTTTACAGGTACTTTGCAGTCGTTTCATCTTAGTTTTTATCTCTTATCATCTGCATTGGTGTGTGTTAGTTATTCAAAATTCCTAAAAGAAGATATACATCTGTTGTTTGGTTACATTCTATCATCAATAATGTTGCTTCTGGTACCCAGTGAACACATTAAGTTACCAACGTCATAATCCTGTAAATACGACGATAGTATACATTTACAGATAAGCATGACTGATTGTGGGGAAGTGAAAATGTATACCACTGGATGTTAGTTCAGTGGTTTGAAGGTTAAATAATCTCTAGTGGGCCTGAATATAATAGACATGGTGGTATGTTCCTTCTACTAAGGAGCTCTGATGAAACAGCTGTTCAGTACTTCTTGATTTTCAATAATCGTCTAAATAAAACCAGTCAGTGATATAAAACTGCCAATCGAATTTTAGTCATTTTACTTGAGTTAATATTCAAAGTGTTCTTGATGGTTGTCAATTATTTGTTTATCTGGAAAAATTTTAAAAAAAATAGATTTAATGATAAATACCGGTTTAATTTCATATATATTTCATTTTATGTTTTTAATCATTTTCTGTAGCGGTGCAGATCTATTAGCTATGAATGTTGATGGTAATATGCCTTATGAATGTTGTATGCCCGGACCAACACTGAATTTAGTAGAAACCGAAATGGATAAAAGAGGTTAGTTTTTTATTGACCGGAAATTCATAAATCGTTTACGTCACAAATACCATTGAAAAATGTAGAATGTTAAGCATTGTGTAACTCCATAGTAGTATACGTTCATGATCTTGTCATAGACCCTCATTTTTTCAGAGAGTAAGTCTTAGATCATTGATTTGGAATCCATTGATCCAAAATTTTAATCACATTTACTTCATGATAAAACGCAGCAATAATGTAGTTCAACTTCTTTACTCTCTATATAAATGAACTCTGCTAGTCAGAGATTAGTCTCTAAAGCAGTCACTACTGAGCTAACAATTATAATTTCCTATAAATCCTTTGTGGTAATTGATTTGATTCATAATATTGTGCACAAACTCTGTATCCAATAAGAAATTTGTATTAATAATATTATGTTGTCCCTTTCATTTCCCGATTTCTCTGTATGTTTCTTAAGAATTAATTTTCCTATGCTTTGTTTTTCACTGCCATAAACGTTTAATAAACTCTAAGTACTTCTCACCTCGTTATGTTGATATGATATTCGTAAACTTGAACTAATAAACATCTATGCCAAGCTCTTTATTCTATAAGAATAACCAATAATTCTTATATTTTATTAATACTTCAGCTATCTTCATCTCATGATGTGAATTGGTCTGATCATTACAATATCTCTATATTAAGATCTTAGATAAATAAATAAAGAATATTGTTTTCCAATAAGTTCTCATCAGCTTCTGCTGTTTTAAGTCCAAATTAGTTATCCAAACAGGATAACTAAGTCTTAAAAAAGTACATATTTTCAAATTTTGGCGTATGGATCTAAGAATATGAGAAAAGATGGATGGTAGCTAGCAGTGGAATCCAGGATGTGTGTTTCGTCCTATTTGGGACTTGTCATCTGGATGTGTCTGCATCCCATAGCTGATATTCAATTGCAGTCCTTAACATCAATGGGAATTTTCAAACAAACAGTACCAAATGAATTTAAAATAATATTGTTAATGTTGAGATAATTAGTACACAATATAAACATTACCAGTCATACTTTAAGAGTAACTTTTCTGCACTCCACTAAAAGTTTCACAATTTATATGAATAAACCTAAACATATATTTATAAGCAAAAGTAAACGACTCAACTACGTTATCATGCACTTGATTTCCGAATGTGTTGCAACAAAAGGGCAAAATATTTTAAATCTTTATTTCATGGCCATTTGTACGAAATAAACTTTGACTCAAATAATCTTAAATAACAGAAGTTGTTGTAACAGTCAGTTGATGTTGTCCTGGGTTTATTCAGACATTTGTAAATTACATTTTCATGGTAATAATATAATGCTTATGTAATCAATCTGAGATGTGCCATAATCAATTAAAATTTGTTCTTTGCTCAAGTACATTTATGCTGTAATAATGTTTTCACTTGAGTGCTGTTAGAGATATAAGAGCGTTTATCATAATATGTTATTAGAACATTGGGCTTTAAGTATGTATACCAGTGAGAATTATACATATTTTCTTTGGTAATATATAATAAGCTTGATAATGTAAAATATCTGATTAACTCACAGTCAGACGGAGTATATATGAGAAACCTTACTACTTGTAGCAAACATATATAAACGTTAAGAACTGATTCGGTATGATTGATAAGTAAACACCTGGTGTTCAATAAGTCTACAGTTCTCAACGAAACCTTTTAAAAAATTGGTTTCTATACGAAGAAAAACGACAACATTATCATTGAATCACTCGGCGATGTTACACATACATTGTTCTATGATTTCGTCTGTCAACTTATTTTGCCTGAAAAACACTAATTCTATGCATGCATCAATGTTCACTAAAGGCGGAGCTGTTTTATGATGAAACGTAATAACAAACCTCTTTATCTTTCATTCTGGATGAATTACGAAGATTAGGTGATGGAGTAGGACCGTTAACTTCCGTAATAGTGTCGTTTTGTTGTACTTTGCCTGACCAGGAGCTACCATGATGCGTTACTACACCAGCTAAAATTGGTGACGATGTTGGTGGAATTGAGGATTTCGAGGAATGACCGGGATGTGAACTACGTGTAGAACCACGAATAGTTTTGGGACTAGTAAGTTCATGGGATTCTGGATAGGTTGTAGATTTTTGAAGAATATGGTCTGCAGATCCATTGGGTATAGGACTTAAAGGTTTTGATGTAGTCTTTTCATCTGATGATGCTGTAGCTACACCACGCATTTCAGCCTCTTGTTTAGCTTCTTTCCAAGAGATCATTTTTTTCTCTCTCATACTTGTTCGACGAATAGATGCACTTCAATGAAATTAAAACATAGGGTATATCTAAAATATTTCTTCAACAAAAAAAAGACCGAAATATATATATGTCGAAAGTTAAATATGGAAGTTGATGGACTCCAGCTCAGTGATTGAAAGTATTTTCCACTCCTGATAAAATTTTCATGTTCTACATTTTGTGGTGTATACAGTTATGGAAGCTCCAAACTAAACTAAAATATCGATTTTCATTATTTCTCCGAATAAGGTCAGAATCGAATGAAAGTAAACCTCTAACCATTTATTTAAAAATAATAAATCAGTATGATGCCGCTTAAGATAAAATAAAATAAATTAAAATATATAATAGTAACTTAGTATGGATTATTTTTAGCTGTGAAATATATATTTTCCTTTAAGAAGAAATCTCTCATTTTCTCTCTATTCTATCACAAAGTTCAATGATTTCTTACAGTGGTCTTGAGTGCTTATGGCTAACTGTCATCTGCTTTTGCAACCTCAAGTGGTGTCCGCCAAGGCTGTCCACATTCTCCATTTTTGTTTAACTTCATCATAGACCTACTGCTAGAAATAACGTTCTCGTCGACTGAATTTTCGGGCATTGGTCTCCTTCCAGGAGGTCCACTTATCGACTTAGAATACGCAGATGATATAGTTCTGTTTGGTGAAAACACTAATAAAATGCAGAGTATTCTGATAGCACTGAGCAACAATGCCCAGAATGTTGGGAATGTGCTTCTCTCCCTCTAAATGCAAGTTGTTGCTTCAGGACTGGTCTGCGTCAACACCTGAACTAAGGATAGGGAGTGAAGTAGTCGAACGCGTTGATAACTTCACTTATCTTGGAAGTGTGATCAGCCGTAATGGGTTGGTGTCCGATGAAATCCAGCACGGATTCAGAAAACTCGTTTGGTTTTTACCAACTTACGCCACCTATGGCGAAGATGCCTAACAATTAAGGCACGATTATGCTGCACAACAGTTCATTTTGTTTTATTTTACGGCTGTGAAACGTGGCCATTAAGAGTTGAAGATATTCGTAAGCTACTAGTATTTGACCACAGATGCCTTAGAAATATTGCTCGCAACTACTGGGATCACCGGGTAAGTAACAGTTAGGTTAGACGTAGGGTATTAGGGAATAATGGTAAGTCAGTTAATGAAGTTATAAATCTTCATCGAATGAGATGGTTGGTCCACATGTTACGCATGAACACCGATTACCACGACGCTCAATGCTGACTAGTGTTGGGGATGGTTGGAAGAAAGTTAGGGGTGGTCAAACCAAAACGTTGCATCAGTGCTTAAAGTCACTAACTTCTAGTCTAGGCCATGTTGAGAGATGCAGATTACTTGGTTGGGGTCCGCGTGACTTTCGTAACTAATGGTTGGAGACTCTGAGTGACATGGCTCAGAATCGATCACAGTGGCGTAGGTGTATACACTCTCTGTCTTTCGTTAAACTATGAGATTAAATTCGCTTCATATCTTTTTTTTCTACGAACTAATTATTTCTTCCTGTACTATGTACTTTTATGCAATCTTTCTTTTATATATCGCCACCACTGTCTTAACTACTATAAATTCGGTGTTCATCTTGTTGTGCTAATGAGGTATGGCAACTTGGACCGATGAATATATGTGACTGGTCCTACGTTGTAGCTGTCTGACTGAATGTTTGCACTTAGTTATTACTTGAACCTGTCTTTCAGCAAAAGTAGATTAATAATTTTCAATCGTAACCTTACTGTTTCAAATTTATCTTACTCATCTAAAAGAAAAATACAGTTTCAATTATTTATCAATCATTAATGACTGTGTTTTAAGTAATAAAATCTGTGTACCGTCCACTGGTCTACTCGAATTGACTTTACACTTAAATCACAAGCTCTACTTCCGTTAACAATGTACATTATTGGCAACTATAAAGATTGTATTTTATTTTTTGTCAGTCAACTATCATCTTTACTAAGAACCAGAGAGATTTACAAATGAGTACTTATACATAAAGTGTATAAAATACTAAATTTTATGAATGAATTTATCTCAATCATTAATTTATCTTGCTATCAAATAAATCTTGTCCATCGATAAGGTGTTCCTAATTAGTCAATATAGCAATTGTAAACTATGTCTATGTGATCCGATCCAAACTAAAAAATCCATCCTAATTTTGTTTCTTCCAATCAGATAATTCTATACGATAATTCATCTGTAATTGTTTTTTTCAATAATGTCAAACAATTGTAAAATGTCAGATGGGTTTTGTGAATACTATAGTAATTCCAGTGGTTAAGGTCATGAGTCAATTGAAGCTAGACCACCATGGAAAACCTGGAAGCACTGGACGGCCGTTTCGTCCTATTGTGGGACTCCTCAGCAGTGCGCATCTGTTATCCAGCTCACGGGATTCGAACCTAGAATATTCAGACTCGTGCACGAACGCCCAAACTCTGAACCACTGAGCCGGCATCTGACAGTGCTAATGTTTCGCGAGAAAGACCGAAAGTCTTGGGTTCGAATCCTCAGAGTGGGAACGTGGATGGGCACTGCTGATGAGTTCTATGCTAAAACGAAACGATCATCTAGTGCTTCCAGGGTTTCTGTGGTTTTCTAGCTTTAATTGACTCATGAATTCAACTATTAAATTACTACAATCATCATAAAGTTCTAGTGAGACGTAGTGGCCAGCGGAGTTCAACCAGGTCTGTTGTGAGATAGTAACTCACTGAAAACAATAGTGGATGTGTCGCTCAGTTTTGTGGATTAGTTGAAGTTAGACATTAACACCGTTGGATGCCAACTCAGTGGTTTAGTGGCTAAGTACTCGCGCGCAAAATCAGTATCTACTGGGTTCGAATCTCGCAGGGAAAGAGGTCGTGGATGCGCACTGCTGACGAGTCCCATAATAGGACAGAACGGCCGTCCAGTGCTTCCATGTTTCCCATGGTGGTCGAGCTTCAACTGACTCGTGATCTTAAGTATTGGAATTGTAAAATGGCTTGTTTTAGCTCACTTAGCACAAACTTTCAAGCATTTTCATGTTTATTTACCTATTCTATGACTATACTGATTTAATAAGAATGTAATAGTTGATATACCACAACCTTTTCAATGTATTCTGTTAGATAGATGGAATACGTAATTAGAAATTGAAGAAATATTGTCTAGCTATGTGTTTTCAGGTAAACTAGGCTACATCGAATAACTTGTTAATAAGAGAACAGAAAATGTGAAGTTTAGTTCAATCGATTAAACAAACCTGACGTCTTAATAAACAGATAGATAAAACGTAATATGAGTTTTCCTTGTCTTTGTGTGTGTGGAGTTGCAAGTATGCTGGCTTTTAATTGATTAAATGTTTTGTATTTTGTTTCACTTACTTCATTTGATTGGCTGATTATGTGAGCATATACACACACCATATAATCCACCTTTCTGTTTGCTTAACGTGTACACACATTCATACCTTCAAACTTCTAGACATTTATTCATAAATAACTGAATTTATGTCTAATGGCTTAATTAAAACACTCAACTGAAAAACACTAGTTTGGATCGATGACTATTGTTAATCGATTTCGAGGGTTTTATTGAAAATGAGCCATGTTAGATTAAATTTCATAAAAACAGAATGTTAATACAGTTTAGACGGTAGTCATATGCGACGAAATTCACTACCGAAATGACTATTTTCTGATTCGCGTACACATGTATACCAATTAGAAAACTTATACTATATTATAGTAGACACTTTCGATTTAACCCATGAAGGGATTTTTTGAGGAATGATTAAAACCATAAAGCACTCAACAATCGTTCCCCTCTGATTTGAAACTCTTTGGAAGAATGCACCAACAATCCAACTACGAGCTTAACTTTAAAACTCTTGGCGAGCTCCTTGCGATCGAACCACTAACTCGATATCACTGTTCTGCATTTCCAACTTCAACTGGTTCACAGTAAAACGCGACATAATTGAATTTTAACAGTTACAACCAATTATTAAAGTCACTAAATTTTAAACATGCGACCTCAACGTAAGGTATTTGAGGCGAAATCTGAAGGTCTCAGGTCTTATTTCTGATGGTGACATGGGTAAGCATATCTGAAAAGAACTAAGATCAACCATGTGTCCAATACTATCTGACTGTCAGTGGCTTCCCAAATGATATCATTTGGTAATTAAAACCGGTCATAAATTAAATTTGTCTTCATAACCTCTTAAATAAAACTATTTTGAATTAATGCCAAAGATTTGATTTCCTGATTTAGCTGCACTGATCATCAATGAGTTTCAGACTAAGAAGTACAAGAATTTTCTATGTTTTAGGAACATTTATTAAGTGAATCGCGTTCATGAAACTTAGTTATTTGCCAAAGATTCAATGAAATATGGATTGTTTCAAAAATTTAATTAGAAAATTGAACTATTTAAGATGAAATAAACAGAGATACTAAAGCTGTTAAATAATTGGTGCTTTCGAAACATTGTTAGAATGTCGAAGGTATGATACTAAATGTAAATGTAAGATAAACTAATGAATAAAGTCATAAAATAGAAATAGATGAAGTATTTATAAGTTATACTTTATAAAAGTGTCGCAAGTTTTCATTCTGACTAGAGGAGTAATAAAACAAAAAAAGGAGTCAACGTTATTAAGCTTATAAGTTCTCAGTACCAAGGTTAAACTTGATAGTTCCAAATAAATTGAACATTGGGTTGAAAATTATATATCTACTCCGAAGAAGTAGCTTACATTAAGTGACGAAATACCAGAAATACAATTTTTCTACTCATTGGAGTCCCATACCAGGACGAAACGGCCGTCCAGTGCTTCCAGGTTTTCAATGGTGGTCTAGCTTCAACTGACTCATGATTTCAACTTGTGAAATTTCTTAAACTCTCCACAAAACCCATTCTGAAAACAACAAAAAATATACTATCCGGCCTAGTTATAAAACACTTTTGTGGTGATTTATACAGACTACACGGATTAGTAAGTAAAAATATGTTAAATGAATAACTTAAATTCATTTGAAACAACTACAGATCAGGTTAAAAGGTTAGGGTTCATGATTTAAAATTTAAGTCTTTGTGTATAATATTGTGAATATGTGAATCTACTCAATTTATACAAGATAAACATAATTAAAATTAGATGATAAAATAAAACGATATTAGACAGTATTCGAAAATGTGGATAATCTGATTTTGTCTCAGTAGTTTGAAAGTTTTGTGCTCGTGACTGTCGAAGTCTGTCAAGAATGCTCATCTCTGAAGAGTCTTTGATTTTCTATGCTTCTTCAGATGAAGTCAGTCTATGGCACGAATCTACCTTCAGGATATATATCTTCATAAAATCACCTAATTCATGTACATGTTTTTCCAGCTGTTATCAGTAAAGTGATATCTCATACAAATAAATCTTGCAAACATTTTACCTTTCTATAATATCCTTTACATCGAAAAACAACAACAAAAAGTGAGATAAAAATAAAGATTTTGTTAATATGTGTATTTCTCTTGTTCTAAAAGGCATAACTCAAGAAGAAATAGATGATTGGCATCGGGTGCCAGAATGTGAAATGCTTGCAGATATGGAAGCCTTATACAAAGCTGGTGCAGACCTTGATCGACTAGATGCACAAGGAGCATCTATGGTGAGTAAAGTTAAATGGCTTTAGCTTAATTATTTTATATGCAGATGAGTTGATTTTTAGTTAAATTATCATTATCTTTTATAAATGGAAGAATAGGTTTATAATGTACTGACATAAAGTGGTTGATCTATATCAGTTTACAGTTGTTATATATCACATATTCACATCCTAGAAAACACTATTCTTCAATTGAAAGAATGAAATAATTTTAATTATCTGAATATCCCTACACTTCAATGACCGAGTGACCAATCAAATCAAAAGCATTTTAATGATGTTATTGGTATTGGAATTCTTCACTACATATATGGTACAAAGAATAAAAACCATCATTTTACAGTTAACCAATCAAGATAAACACATTTATTTCTAATGCAACATCGAAGCTAATAAACAACTGGAAACTACTACTTAAAACTATTGAGTTATTCATGAATGATTCATATTTCCAACTTCAATGAATTCAAGATATTATTTTTATCATTGACTAAAATCGCTATGAAATATTTACTATTTAAATAATTCATTGAAATAAATTATATTTACCAGTTAAATCAATTAATATGAACTTATGACAAATTACTTCATACATTCTATTTGCTAATTAGATTTTACCTTTGAGTTATTTGTTCCCAGTCTTGTGTTAGGTTATTTGTGCATATTTGTCGTAGACTATTTTCAAAATAGAAAATCATGATTGTACGGAGGATAAAATATCAGTAAGTTTATTATTGTGTTCACAAATATACAAATCACATTCATATCACCCCCTATAATGAATGAGAACACAGGCGGAGACAAACTGAATACAACACTACAGAATATATTAGTAAATCTGTGAACCATACAGTAAATACGTCACTTGCGAAATGTCCACAAATTGTCTCAAACTTTATCGTTCCTTCATTTCTATACCAATCACTCAGTGTCCTCATTCTCTTCTGTTATATTTTCTCAACCTTCTGCCACCAGACATTTCACTTTTGGTTGATGATATATACTTTTTATATCTATGGATATCAGTAGCACACACTACACCTCCAGTATAAAATAAGACATCAAGTCACTGTCATATTTTTTTCCGCCTGTAATTCACTCACCAGTCACATTATCATCAAGTTTTTAATTTAAAAAAAAAGGAAATTATCAAAATTCAATAGCCTACGCTATAACTGGGTTTTCACTTTGTAGTTAGAAAACGATGAACTGAACAGATCTATTATGATTTGAATATCCTGACTAATTAATCATTATTTAAATAATTGATAGGTTTAATAATACTAATGATAAACTATCTTTCATCTCAATTAACATATTACCTGTATTCATATGAAGATTATCTTAAAAATAAACTAATGTTCTATGTTTCAGTAGTATTTATTATAGTACGATATCATTATTATTTAAGTATGTATATTCATGAACGGTTTACACACTACTCTTCTTTTCCCTCAACAATAAGAGATATTTATAAATACAAATTAAAATACAGTTAAATATGAGCTAAAAACAATAATAATACCGATTCCATGGTATACTATATATCACAGATAAAAATTATTTTGATCATGAAGTGATAATAACTATTCTGAGTACATCAGACATTACTCAGTTGTTTTCATAGACTCAGAAGTACACCGAATTCTTTCGTCAAAGTTATATGAATAAAAATCTAAAGTATAAAACTTAGATTCATCATAATGGTTGCTACATACGAAAAGAACGCCTAATGACAATAAAGTTTGTTAAAGTTTAGATGTCACTATTATTTAGTGTCAATGTATATGAAAGTTCAAATAAACCTTTCCGACTGAAGAGTAAACTAAGATATTCATATGTTTTAGAGTAAGATTAACAGTGACACAAAAAATCAATAAAAATATTTGAAGAATTTTATATACATATAATGAGGGCTTTAGTAGATTCATTTTGTTTTGTTATTGTCATAGTGTGCGATCCGGTTATGTTAGTTTACATTCATTTAAGAGCCTTTCCGATTTATCTAAATGATGTCAAAATATTTGGACATGGACAAATCTCTATTGCTAAGTACTGCATATAATGCTTACATTTTATGTTTATCTTAGAGTTGACAGACTAACCAGAACGTATTCATGTGGTTAGTGATATTGACTAGGCAAATAACCTACCTACTCACCATAGCTCACCTATAATTGCGTATAAACTACCATGCAACCACCGAAACAGTTATCTGCTTTCCTCAATATATTCGTTAACTTCGATTTCGTGAATTCATTCAACCTTTCCTACTGCAATTGATACTGTTACTACTTCTAATGCTTCGAGATTTGTTTTAGTAACTCCATCTTGCTGCACCCAAATAGTATGGTCACATGAAACGATACACATTTCTGTCAAGTCCTCTGCTGCATATGACTGACTTAATGACTTCCTGTTTATGTACAAATATATTTAGAGATAGTTTCATAAGAACCAAAATCGTGTTGGACAAATCTATTGACGGGAAAAAATCAAAGTTTCCATACATATCAAAATCAAAAATAAGAGAACGATTTCATTTAGACTGTCATATAAATGATCAGGAATCTCTCTGGAAAATTAATAATAGATTGACATGAATTTTCAAGTTATAAGGTCGAAGTAAATCGAATATACTTATGAAATTGTCAGCAAAAGGTTGTGGAGAATGTTGACTTTCATTGAAATCGTGAACCGATCTGAGTAAGGCCACTATTGCAAAGCTGAAGGGACTTGATGGATATTTCCTTCTAATATAGTACTCCTCACGAGCGCACACCCACGAAACGGCCGTCCAGTCAACTAGCTTCGATAGGAAATTTCCGAAATTCTAGTGAGAAGCCGTGACCAGTAGGGCTAAACCATGTCGAGTATGAGGCATTCGCTCACCGAAGACAATCAATGATGTTTGTGCAATGCCATAGATTAATGTAGGTAAGACACCATTACGCTGCATGTCTGAATGTTAGTCGTTCACACGCAAGACTTAAGATCATGGCCTCAACGTCCGCGTACGGGATCGCAGATGAGCACTGCAGAAGAATCCTATATTCGAACGAAACGGCCGTCCAGAGCTTCCAGGTTATCAATAGCGGCCTAACTTAGATCACTTCATGATTTCAGCGAAACGCTTGCAGCAAAAGTGCATGTCACTAGGTTTTGAAATGATAAAGGTGGTTCGTAGCTGAGAAAACGGATTTTGTTCCTGATTAGTTCTTATGGTGGACCAAAATATCCAAGCATCTATGCATAAGGGATTATCAAACTCTTACATACAACAGGTTAAAAAATAATGTCAAAAGCATTAAATCGTTTGGTGGACTTATACAATCACGCTATGATATCTGGAATATAATTTTAGATACGATCAAAGATATTCAAACGCCACAATAGATTATTATATCCTTCGACATTACAACCCTATTCATTTCTACTGAACCACAGAACATTTCCCCATTCGTCACCAATTATACAAATTATTCAGCGCTTATGATGCTTCAAAATCAAAGTTTAATTTAGTTCAACTAGTTGTGTGTAATAACATATTTCCGGTGAAACATGCAAACAAGAAAGACGTTCATTCGGATCACCGATACCCCGAATAATTACAGAAATAATAACGAAGAGATTAGAAACTTTAGTTTTACAAATTACCAACTCGAATTTGGATACGTTTTGGAAATGGTACATCTGTTATTAACATAAAAGATAAATCGAAAAGTATTTACATTTTGGTCAATAAAATTCACATTAGTGATAGTATCGAAAACCAAACTACTATTTTCGAATGTTCTGATCACAGTAGTTAATAAAAGAAAACTAGAAACTCAAGCATAACAGAAACTAACTCATATCTATCAAATCCTCATTTAGAAAAACAGTGACTTATAAATTAAGTTATGTGCTGATACTGTTCACATTGCAGCATAGCCGCAGAATGGTAGATTAGAATAAAATAAATAACGGATGGGTTTCCTAAAATAGCTACCCACAAAAATTCATCAGGTAATACTTGTCTAATTTATTGCCGTAATCAGAGCGATCATAATCAAATAGATAATACTATCCTAAAAGAAAATCAACTCCAAAACCACAAAAAAAAAACTATTCGAACTCATACGGAGACAGGTGTAGCCTACAAAATCACGAAATCTCTCCAATCAATATTGTACAAGTCAAAAGAATGAAAAGAGGAATACAAGCTAAATAAATGACAATGATCTATACTATCTCAGACTGAGTGCCTACTATCTTCATTTGCGTGAACACCAACTACCTGATAAACGCTACGACATATCTCCACTAATATCAATATATAAAAATAATGAGATCAATTTGATCATGAAGACCATTAAAAATCGAACAGAGGAGTCACATAGAAAAGTATGGAATTTTTTTAGAATCTTGATACTCGAATCACACATCAATCGATAAACGTATTAAAATACACTAAATCTATTCCTCAATGCAGAAAAGGATAGACGAGGCACAAGTCGAAGATTGAACCAGATAAATAACAATAACACAATTATGCTGATAGTAGAACAAGCTGTCCATCAACTGTGAAGAAATTCTAATAAGCTTCTTTTTAAAGTATGGACTGATGATATTGTTTAGAATATCAGAGGAAGCACTATAGTAAAACCTACTAGCTCAAACAATTTAACAGTAAAAAAGAATAGATTTATTTCAAAATTATTTAAAGCCGTTTACTAGCGTATAAAAGTATCCCATAATAATAAAGTATATATTATGTACCTAATTATTTGTTTCTCTTTTAAAAGATATATTATTGTGAGAAATGACGAATATTTAACATCTTTGATATTACTGCTTACAACTACCAAAACTGAAGTAATTAAAAGGAAGTTAGTGAATTTATTCAGACTAGAAAGACCGTACTTTAAAGTTAATAATACTGAAAACTTTATAAGTTCCTATCAAATTAATTACTTGATATTATGGCATCGATATCATCTAATACATTGATTGAATATTCACTAGGTAAAAGAACTAAACTTTCAACGTTTTTTTACCTTAAATTACTTCATTAATTTCAGTTGAGACAATCAAAATAATATCTACTAGCTTTGACCAAAACGATTCACACATTCATGTACTTATCAACCAGAAAACTTGATCGGTTTAAATACTAATTACTTTAAAATAACCATTGACTAAGTTTCTTATATAATGCTCACATTAAAACATATAGTAGATGTGATAGAAACCATAAACCATAAATCCCTCTAAGATATAATCTAATGTTTCTTATCAGAATATAGTAAGATTACGTAACTTTTAAATACAAATTCATGATTACCACTGGTAATTGATTAAGTATTAAAAAATAAAAACACTATTAAAATAAGATATTTTACGGTAAGAAAATAAATAACTAAATATTTTAAATTTCAATTGTTGTTATTCTAATAAGCTTATTTATATGTTAGTTAGAAACTGGTTCAATTTTCAATGTTAATTAATCATTCAGTATTCAACTTAACAAAATAAATTGTCGTATCTTAATCGTCAAATCATGATAAACATAATCGTTATCGTACTTTTAATAGTTGAGATCATGAGTCAATTGAAGCTAAATCACCATGGAAAACATGGAAGCACTGGACGGTCGACCCGTCATATTGTGGGACTCGTCAGTAGTGCGCATCCATGATCCCGCCTTCGCGGGATTTGGACCTAGGACCTATTTGTCGCTCAGTTTCGTGGATTAGTTGAAATTAGACATCAGCACCATAAGATGCCAGCTCAGTGGTCTATTGGTTAAGCGCTCGCGTGCGAGACTGATAGATTCTGTGTTCGAATCCCGCGAGGCGAGGTCGTGAATGCGCACTGCTGAGGGGTCTCATACTAGAACGAAACGGTCGTCCAGTACTTCCAGGTTTTCCATGGTGATCTAGCTTCACTTGATTCACAATCTTAACTATTAAAATTACCACGATCTCCACAAAACCCCCTTCTGATGTTATCGTATTTTTTAAGCAAGAAAAATATCTTTTCAATTTTTTTTTGTAACTAAAGATAATTTCATTTTTATCTATTTACCTATCTATCTATCTATGCGTGATAAAATTTAGTGAATCTCTATGCTTGTTTGTTCAGTGCTTTATTTTTCAAATTGTATTCATCATTAGTTTTACTATAACTTCATTTATACCGTTATTTTTGGCTTCAGCCTACATCCCTTTATTTTCTCTGTTTCAACTCATTGCTTTTTTCTGTTATGATGAATCTGTAAATTAGATTTTTGTAAAAAAAAACCAAAAGAATTTTACACGTCCTATCTTTTTCTTGTCTATTTTTTTAAGAAATTTAATTTTTGATGAAACTGATGTGTGTTCTGAATTTATTGATTACCTACTAGTTAATATTTGTTATGCAGTGAATTATGGATAGAAAAAAGATGTTGGTAGGTTCGTATAAATGAAAAACTATGTGTCTTGGTACGAGTAATTACATAATAATGATAATAATAATAATAATGATAATAATAATAATAATAATAGTCTTATGATTCATATGGGGTATTCAAAAACAGTAAAATATTCTAAGTGAACCTCTGTTCTTGATGACTACCTTCTTAAATGACCTTTCAAATTTATAAATAGTACGTTTTGGACGTAAACTAGTCGTAATCGGTGCTAAATAATGAATTAATCATTGTAGAACAAGATAATGAAGTAATTCAAAATAATTAGCCGCTCGAATACTACTTGTTTTCGAAATATTTGTAATCCTCATTGAAATTTTGTGAACTTACGGGTACATAGAACATATATATTTTCAAATTGTATTACTTGGTATTCAATCTATTTCTTTGTTTTGTAAACATTTATGAAAAAACGTTTCGGTTTATATGTTTTTGAACTTGGACGATTAAGCTGTAAATAATTCATTTTTCTAGATGTTATCGTCAAGGAAAGCATTTGGAAAACTGTTGGTTGTTATTTACAACATAAGTTTCAAACTTCTTAGGAATGCATATTCGCATCCCTAAAATTTGACAAAATCCAGGACTTATATTTTTTCGTGGCGATCACAATATCTTTACATCCTTAAAGGAGAATTCAACGACTCATATTTCTAGCTTTATTCATCTTTCAACATGGTATGGCAGACAACATGTTATACATTACCAATCACTGCGTCCAGCTAGATATTCAACAAAATTCACCTCAAGAGATAAGATTCTGAATCTGGCACCGTGTGAGCTCCGCTGTGAAATTCTAAACATGATCGGAAAATGTATTCAATGTTCTCTGGCCTCCAACACTTTACCAGTCAGCGAATGACGAAAACAGTCTTCTTATATAATTTCCATTCAATATTATATTTTAAATAATTGTTTCGTTAGCTTAGTTTTCAATCATTTGTCATCTTAACCTTAATATACATTTTTTGTTTTGATATAGTTACACATTGCAGCTGCTAGTGGCTTTGAAGAAGTTGTTTTGTTTTTGTTAAAACGTGGAGCAAAAATTGATCTTCTTGATAAAGATGGTTGGCAAGCAATACATATTGCAGCTTGTTGGTGTCAAGTAAGTGTATATTATTCAATATGTGGTTTATGCTTACTCATGAGTAGCTTGTAGATTTACATAATTTGTGGAAACTGAATCTTATTTTTTTATTGAAATCACCAGTCTATCTAGGTTAAACAATCATTAAAGACTATCAAGCACTGAACAGCTGTTTTGTTCTAGTATGGTACTGATTAATGATGCTCATTCACAACTCCCTAGAACCCTAGAAATTTGGTCCCACACACGAACGCTTAACTTTTAAACCACTGAGCTGGTATCCAGTGGTGTACAAATTTAACTTCAACCCATCTAAGATACTACCTGACTACTTTTTCATAGTCTTTGGTAGTTATCTACCTCATACTCGACACAGTTGAACTTCAATGGTCAGAGCTTCTCATTCGAAATTCGCAAAATTTCTCCTTTAGCTAGTCACTTGTGGGAACATGATAATTATCGATTTGAGGAATTCTAGAGATTAGGTTTTCTTCAGAAAATTAAGAAATATGTTGTTAAGAATTTTCCTTTGAATTTTTTTAAACTCTGATCATTACTGCCTAAATGTCATCGTTTACAATGTCTTAATTAACCACTAGTATCGCTGATAGATAACAGTTGTTGAAATTTGAGAAATTACCAAGTATTACTTGTTATTATTGTTTACTTTCTTATAGAATTTACATCTACATTCAATAAGATCATAAACTTTCATTTTCGTCATCCTTTCTTCAACTGGTTTGTTATAATATGAAAGGTAAAAATATCTTAATTCTAATTATGAGGTCTTTCATACCACATCAATGAACACTGTATTGAAATCTAATAAAATGTACTTTAATATGACAAGATCTATTATCCAATCAGACTATATTTGCCACTGAAAATAGTCTTATCATCCACATAATAATTTATCTGATTAACATACAGTACAAAAATATATATAAAGTGTTTCGTGCATGTCCATGTGTAGTCAGTCAAAAAGTGACTAAGTAGATCTCCTTATGTAATTAAATCTTTATCAATTAAACATTATTAAAAAACAGTTTTAAGCAAACGATAAATATAATAACATTTTTATACTACCCACTTAGTGGTAATATGGTATGTGCTACTTATATTGACATACACAAGTTGTGTGTAACACCAGTCAGATGTGGAATCCCTGTTAGAAGAAGGTTGAGAAGATCGGATTGAAAAGAACAGGAATGTAAATAGAGAGTAATTGTAATAACAACAGGAATGAAGGAATTATAAAGTTTGTAAGAGACAATTGATGGAAGGTGTGCAAAGGAAGTATTTAATGCATAATTCTCGTATTTCGTAAAGATATTTTGTAATTTTGTATATATTACCAATAAATTGATCTTCTCTACCTACGTTCGCGTTCACTACAATTTTTACATGACCAATCATAAGAATTCGTCTTTTTGAATGTTTCCCTCATTAACTGAATTAAAATTAAGTGCTAGAGTTGTAGATTTACAAAGTAGACTTAATAAAGTCACGAGGCTGATGCCCCTTCTGATAACCAGAGCAACCATTTATTTAGGTACATGGAATGCTCGTACAATGTGGGAAACCGGGAGAGTCTTCCAAATTGACAATATACGCTTATATAAGTTAACTTTTGAAATTTTCCCAATTTACATACATATTAAACAAAAACTAAAAGTTATTCAAAGTGAGACTATAATTTAGGGATAACCTTTGAGCGACGCTAGACTGACCTTGTGATTGTTCACATAATAACTAGGACCAAATGTGGATCATAAACCTGTGTAAGGAAGTATAATTACGGTTTACAGTTGATGGTCAAAGTTAAGAATTAGATTTAAAGTTTTCATCACGAATTGATATAAGCTACAATGCAAAAACTCTTTTTAAGCAAACGAACTAGTTAATTTCGCGTCAAAATCTAAGACTTGTTATCTTATACCCGATTGGTTCGTTCATAAATAATAGTCTCTCCGAAATAACATTTAATTGTCGAATTCATGCGTCAATGTAGACTAGACCATCATGGAAAACCTGGAAGTACTGGAGGGCCGTTTCGTCCTAATATGGGTCTTCTCAGCAATGTGCATCAACGATTCAACCATTTTTATGATGATCTAGCTTTAATTGACTGATAAATCCAAATATTCAATCACTACAATCTCTACAAAACCTCTTTCTAAAATAACATTCCTCTTACATAATTTTAATAGATAAAATAATTTTAAAAAACGAAAATAAACCACAATTAAATATCCTAAATCAAATAAATTAGTTTTAGAGATTAAATGTAAAACAAAGTTTAATGACTTGTTGTTTCAAAATGAGATTGTTTTCTAAATGAACTTAAAAAAAGAGAAACATTCATATCGATAGATATTTAGAAAGAATTCATCTATATTCAATAAAAACTTTCGTCTAAGTTTGATCGAATAGTTTCACAGTATTTGGGCGCCGTGTTAATGTGAGACATTAAAGAGGAAGAATGCATTTGTATGTATATATGACTGCAATTTACATTACTAGAATTTTCCACCTTATTTCAAATTAAATTAATTGACTAATGTACAATCAATAACAATAAGAGATAACAAGTGATGTTTGAGTAGAAAAATTATTAATAGCTGAAATGGTAGGTAAATTGTAATTACAGTTAGATTTAAATAATTTAGAACAATATTGTTTTCGATTAGATCTTCATCGGTCTTTAATATAAAGTAATATTTATTATCAGAAGGGGTTTTATGGAGATTTTAGTAATTTAAATAGTTGAAATCATAAGTCACTTGAAGCTACAACACCATGGGAAACCTGGAAGCACTGTATATATATATATATAGGACTCATCAGCAGTGCGCATCCACGATCTCATCTCGCGAGGTTCGAATCCAGGACCTATCGGTCCCAAACTATGACGAAACGGCCGTCCAGTGCTTCCAGGTTTCCCATGGTGTTGTAGCTTCAAGTGACTTATGATTTCAACTATATATAAATTACAATATGGGAATTTTTCAAATTTAAATAAATCATTTGCTTAACTTTACATGATCGAATTCATGAATTTATTCTGTTTATATACAGCTGTTCTATCTAATTCATTGATCTATCGATAAAATTAAAAACATTGTCTCATGTTGTCTACTCATTAATTGATCATTTCCAAAGAGACAATAAATTATATTGGTTGACTTTGAAAAAGTTTTAAATAATAAAATAAGGATCAGAACGAAAAAAAAATAGATGAAAAGAATTTTATTATTTTTAAGATTGTGAACATGCGACAAAATTACCTATTTAGTTTTGATATTGGAACGGGGTATTTTGTGGATATTATAGTAATCTAGTAGTTATGATCATGAGTCAATCGAAACTAGAACGCCATGGAAAACCTAGAGGCACTAGACAGCCGTTTCGTCCTATTGTGGGACTCCTCAACAATGCGTATCCACGATCCCAACCCGCAGGATTTGAACACAACCTACAGGTTTCGGGCACAGACGCCTAACCTCTAGATCATTGAGCTAGTATCTAACGGTGTTAATGTCTAACTTCAGCATATGCTCACCAGTGACTAACTTCAAGAGGTATTTCTTGGAGTTCTAATGAGAAACAGACCAGTGGAGTTTAACCGAGTCTGTTGTGAAATAGTAACTCACTGAACACAACTGTGAACGTGGGGTTATTTAGTTTTAATTAATAAAATATTTTGAATAACAACTGATTAACAAATAAATTTAAGTTTTATTCCTATTAAACTTCACCCTATTACAAAAGCTAGTGGCTATCTTCACTCAGTACGTTAGTGGGTAATGCGATGGTATTTGAAGCGAACAATACTGAGTTCGAGTCGTGGAGTGAATATCAACTCTGACATGTAGGTATATCCGACGGACAAGTTGTAAATGGGACGAAACGCGCGTTTTCGATTACACAGCTAGCCATCATCACCTCTGCTTAAAACAAATTTTTTATTACATGGACATAGAAATTTATTCAGACTCTTGTAATATTGGTTATAAATTAATAATTTAAAACATACACATAACCTACAGTAATGCCTCATATTTAAAACAAGATGGTTAATCCTTTTTGCTGAGATTAAATTTTTTAAATGTTTAATGTTTGTGAGAGCAAATCGATTATTATCTTTAGTGGTTTTCATTTAAAAAGATAGCAATAGATAACATCCCCTATCGATAAATTAAAATTTACTCTTCCATACTTAGTTATTTCGTCTATCTATTAAATACACGATTGTAAAGAAATAAAAAGGTATCCGATATATGTGTAGACTACATCCATTTGTCACGTGTCTCATCAATAACTTAAAACGATCAGCCCAATAGAATTGAAGAAAGGCCCCCAAACGCCCTGGTACGGTCGAGAGCGGGGAGAGTCCGCTCTCCTTCTCGAAATGCTCTCATATGACCACGTGTGTACAGCCACAGCCAGGGAATTCCTACACACTGCCTTCTCGTGGCGGGTGTGTTGATCACGAAATTGAGTGGATGAAAAGCGAATGTCTGACTATCTAACCGTGTTAGTAGACACGCAGGGTCCACCTAGTAGAGTTGGAACACCATGATTCTAAACTAATGGTGCACATGGGCTCCAGGGTCCTGAATGAACAAATAGCGAATGAACCAATTATTGGTCACTGGCTACCACGGGACTACATCTTCCAACGTTACTCTACTGTCTTGTGTACTAGACCTTTAGATCAAAGACTCGGAAAAACCATTTACTTTTGTTTGGGCACCCATGCAGTATCCAAGCTCTTACACAAAACAAATGATTTATTTAGTGCATATGTATCTTGTGCACTCCCTTTACCGATATCTACGTGTTCAAATAAATATAAATAAATTGAACCAATGTAGTGAATGTTTATGAAAAATATCAATAGCCCTAGGTTCTTCTAAATTTATTTAAAATATAATTTTTACTGCTACTGAAGCAGATATTAATGAATATATCTTATATGGTTATCAACCGTACGTTTTGTTTGCCTTATAAGTTTTAAACTAGAAGCCTTTACATTATTGTGCGTAACGTAGACAATTAATTATTAACTGATTATTTATTATAATTAGAAAATAGGTAAAATATTAGGACGTTGAAATATTTGAAAAATTAATAAGTCAGTGAAAAATTTCCTTATATTTTCTTTGAACAGCTCAGTAATCTATTCACGTTTACTTTCTAATGAATAACTTTTTTATATAATTAGTATCAAGTGTTTCCCTCACTTAAATACGTATCTTAGAAGGGATGTTCATTTCAATCTTAATATACGAAAACCATACGAATGATGACAATGATAGAATTTGCTATGTTTGAAGCAATTACGAGTTCACTTAGTTTGCGAACGGAACAAATACCAATAAACTAGCTATTCTGATGCGTCCCAGACCCGCTAACTAAAAAGAGAAGTCAAAGCCCGAACGGGGAAGTATCTTCCGCAAAAAGCCAGAAGCACGAGCGATAACAACGGACACAAATCAAAACGTATATATACAGCATAAAAGCATACTTGGGAAGCGTTACAAAATAGCGTACTAAAAAATACAACGGACTAATAGCGTTTAAGATTCTCTCAACTAGGAAAAATGATACGAATGTAAAAAGAGCGCATTTGGCGCGAAAACAAAGAAATTTAAATTTTCGAAATAAAATTACAAAATTAGAATTTTTTCCAAGTGAGTTCTGGGGATCTAACGTCCCCAAGAGAATTATGTGTAATTATCGACAATTGATAATTTCAAGTACATTGAGTCATATATATATCGAACGTGAATAATAAATACATTTTTGTAACATCACAATGAGTGGAAAATCGCATTTCTAACGTTGCATGACTTAATATACTCTGAAACAGTGAATTACATTAAATCAAGAAACATCAGAAATACTAATTTCTGCTTGTCGAAATACTACAGAAATATATTGATCAGAATTATGTGTAGTTTTAAATTCATTTCATATTTTCTACTTGAATCTTCCTATTGATGTTTAAGACTGCAATTGATCAGCCTCTTATTACATATGTATATACTGTGTGTATCGCTTTAATTCACAAGATAGACTCAGTAGCTAAGTGGATAATGCGATAGCGTTTGAAGCAAATGTTGCTGGGTTCGAGTCTCAGAGTGAACATCAACTCTGAAGTGTAGGTACATCCAGATGGTGATTCCCAACTAGGACGAAACGGGCGTCCTGGATTCCATTGCTAGCCGCTATCCATGTTTACTTATGCGTGGTTTTTTTATTCAATTTAGTGTATCATGTGATGTATTACATTCATAATAAATTGGTAATATAATTTACTTTTTTTGTTGTTCAATTTAGATAGGAGAAATGTAATAGAAATGACCAAACTTTATGTTAACGAGTAATTAATTCTTTGTTATTGGAAATGATCCAAGAGTTTTGCCTTCAATGATAAATGAGATTTTTTTCAATGTTCACAACCGCATCATATTCTGTATCACTAAGTGGAACATTATGGAATTCATGATTTTTCTAGTAGACGTTTATCTTAATTCGTGATTTATGTTCAAGGTGGATAATTAAGATCATTGTTGAGATCTAAGTTTTTTCAGATTGGAGAATTTTTCACATTATAGATAGTTTATTTAGGCTTTAAGTGACCCAATAGTAATAAATCTCAACTGAAACATAACGTACTTTGGAAATCTTTGAATTTTCACACTTCATTTAAAGTCACACAAAATGTACTTTAGTGTTGAGTCCCTTTTAGCTAAGTGGCTACATTTCAGATTTAGTCCATATCACGAAGACTTTAATTTTTAGTGACTTATCAATACATTTATCACTGTAGCACTATTTTTAATGTTTACTTTTCTTCTCAGTTACTGATACTTGGAATCATAAAATAACACGGGATTTTTAAGAACCAGCTTTGGTTGTTAATCATTGTGTAACTTAATTTTTCCATTTGAATTATACCTAGTAATCGTACCATACTCACGACTAGACAACAAACATTCTTAATAATCCTTTTAATAGGTTAATGTAATTTATGGTGAGTTTTTTTATCATCACAAGAGGTACAATAATATAAAACAATAAACATGTCCCAGAATATATCACATGACAAGATTGTTAAATTCAATGATAGTCAATCACATAATGGTTATTATGAGTATGATTCCTTAAAAAAACTAATCGTAATTAAAAGTTTTCAATGGTAATTTCTTCTATTGCATTTTTAAACAATATGGTTTCAATTTTGAAGCTTATGAGATCCAATTAATTTAATAATTGAATTCATGAGACAAGTGAAGCTAGACTACCATAGAAGACCAGAAAGCACTGGACGGCCGTTTCGTCCTAGTATGTGACTCCTCAGCAATGCTCATCTACGATCCTGCACGCTGGATTAGAACCTAGGACTTATCGATCTCACACGCGAACTCTGAACCTCTAAGCCAGTATTCAGTGGTGTTAATGTCTAACTTCAGCCAATTCACGAATTGACTCATGAATTCAACTACTAAATTATAATAATACCCACAAAACCCCTTTCTGACTAGAAATCTTACATTTTCAATAATACATGGTTGACATATCACTATAAATGTAAAAACTAGTTTAACAGAACTTCTTTTCAACAGTTTTACTGGATTATACTCTTAAATAATATGTAAAAAACTTTGCATTCCAAGTGTTTTACATCTAATGTTGCTATAGTACAATAGCATTTGCTTGCCTTTGTTCGTTTAATAATTTACTTTGAAAAAGGAGCATAATTTCCTTCTAACTTATTCATTAGGACTATATCGAAGCGATCCTCACGGGATGCACATATGACAACAAGACTGATCAATTGTAGTCCTAAATAACAATAGGAAGATACAAGTAAAACAACACCACATGAATTTATTCATTAAGAATCTCGAATCTCTCAATCATCAAAGATAATGATTTTTATTCATGTTAATTATTTCTATGATTATTCGTTATTTAAATCATCCTTTAAAATGTAAGAAAAATATTAACCAATGAAACTGTGTTGAGTACTTGACATATATTGTAGTGAAGGCGAACACAGGTGAGAACAAATGATCACATTAAGTACGAAATTACAGAGTTACTTAGTAAAATAGGAAAACCATACTGTAATACTTAATTTGTAAAATGTTCATTATTTGTCTCAGAATTCGTTGTTTCTGCATTTTCATACCAATTACTTTCTATTTTCATTCTTCCCTTCTTGATCTTTTCAATCTTCTGCTGCCAGACACTATATTTCTGACTCGCGTTATATACTACTTATGTCAATATAAGTAGTACACACCACAGTATTATTGATTGTTTTGAAATAAGCGCATTCATGATTTTACACACTAAAAAAATTTTTGTAGTATTCTGTGACAGTTAAAAGGTTGTTTTTTGGAATCAATGAAAGTAAGCTATTTAAGATGATAATGTTTAACCATTGTATTATTAATCTTAATAAATTAAAATATAGAATATTCTCATTGATCTACTTGATATTAATTTTGTTTATTTAGTTAGAAATTGTTGAATTACTTGTAAATTTCGGTGCAGATATATTAGCTGAAACTAAAAATGGTGAGACAGTATTTGATATATGTGAAGATATTGAAATGCATACGCGTCTAATTGAAATTAAACAAGAAGTAGAAAGAAAAAAATCTCAACAACAAGATTTACTTAATAAACCTGGTAAACCACGTGAATTAGTACGTCGACGTAGTAGTACAAATCCAAGAAGGTAAACTGTTGAATAATAATGTATTATCCCGTTTATTTTCTTCGTTTATTTATAATCAGAAAATTTGTTAATTAGATCAACTATCCTTAAAAGTAAACGACTTATCAAATTTATACATTATTTTGTATCGTATCACGAAATGATCGTGGAGATAGATAAATATTATCAAATAGTGTGTTATTTACTGAGCTAAATGGTTTAACTGCAAAGTCTACATCATCATTCTGCATAATATTACTAGCATCTTCTTTCTGAATTAGATGTCTGTTTTCACTGATATCGAGATAAGTACCAACATATAATTCTTATGATTATTATAAATAAAGAATTCAAAATACGTGAATATTTGTAAAAAATCACTTTAGGCTTTACATTTATAAGGAAGACTATAGACTATAATACATTCAACATTCTACAAGTTGAAGTCTCTCCTTTAATAAATTTGATTTATCAGATGTTTTGTGGAGATTTTAGCGATTTCAATAGTTGAAATCGTGAGTCAATTGAAAATAGACCACCATGAAAAATCTGGAAGCACTGGACGTCCGTTTCATCCTAGTGTGGGACTCCTCAGCAGTGAGAATCCACGATCCACCTCCCTATGCGAGATTTAAACACAGGGCAATTATATCCATCATAATTGTGTTAATTGAAAAAAAATTCAAATACTGTGGAATCTGTAAGTAGAAACAAACAACTGTTTTGTATTCCCTTATTTCCAATGAGTCTCTAACTGTTGATAATCATATTAATAAAACTTATATATATATAAATATTATTACATAAAATTGACCTCAATAACACCAAACAAATTATGAACAGATTATTTTATTTACCGATTATGTCTTTCATGTAAATATATACTATGTATTGATTAACTTAATCCCCTTTAATGATGTATACATTAGTGTAAGTTATGAAAATAAGATGCATTAATTTTCTTTCAATAGAATTCAAATGAATCTCATCATGACACAATAGTTATTTTAATGAAAATTATATCAGTCTTAATATTCAACGTTTTCTTTATAAAATCTATATAGCCCTATGTTGTACTTAATCTGGAAAATTAAAAGTTGACATAACAATTTGTTCTTTTCATCTTGATTCGAAATGAAAGATGGATGATAGGTAGAAGTGGAATCCAGGACGCGCGTCTCATCCTATTTAGGACACGTCAGCTTGATGTACAAGCAGATGGCCATCGGGACTCAGTAGCTAAATGGATAGTGCGATGGTGTTTGGAGCGAACGGTACTTCATTCATGTCATGGAGTAAACATTAACTCTGGAATGAACGTACGTTCAGCTGACGAGTCCCAAATAGGACAAAATGCTCATCCTGCTGGTCACTATCCGTCTTCGCTCATAAAGTTTGTGACATAAGGCAATATCGAGGCAATCCGCACATGGTGCAAATATGACAACAACAGATTGATCAATTTCAGTACTAAATAACAACGGGAAGATGCAAACAAAAGAACCAAGTCAATTTCAAATGATATTGATAGATGAATATATTGTTTGCTGTATTGTAACCAATGTTATCTAAAATTAACTCATTGTTAACTTTGTCTTACATCGTTCCTTTTCTACTCTTTTGTATGTTGTTTTTACTACTTATTTACATTCAGTAGGCAGCTGTATGCCAACAATTTCAAACTTATGTTGTACTGTAAACATTTCTAGAACGTTCACATATATCTTTAACTTTATTTACTTATCATTGTACTATCATTATAATCACTGTAATTTAATTACTGTAACGGTTATCCACAGTTTTGTGCATTTGTTTGATGCAACAGTTTCCATATTGCTTGCTCTTGGTTCGAGTTTCGGTTGCTCATAAATGTTATCAGATTTTAGACACAGCTATCGGCTGTCTCTGTACTATCGTATGTTATAATTATTCTTTATGTTGCTTTACAGGAAGCCAAGAACTAAATGAGCACAAATAAACGTGTTGTATTTGGAATTCTAAATCAGGAAAACATCAAGGGCTAGTGATGTTCAACTAAACTAGTGGGTTCAGAATCAGTGTAGAAGATTGATAGGAATATTTATTCTGAATTATGTCCCACCAGCACCAAGCCAATTCTATGACGAATTGGAATAATAATCAAGGTACATGTGCATCACCTTCTGAACAATCGTATCTTCATCTATGTGTCGTAGTTGTTACATTTACCAACAATAAAGACTTATGTTTATCAGAAGCTAGTCATACTTGTGTATGTAAAATTAAAATAAAACTGTGACTGAATCAGATATACTCATTTATATATTGTTTTTAAACAGACTTGATGATTAGTTACGAAACATCATATAAATAAAAAGATACAATATTCATGTAAAATACATACGAATTCCATACAGTATAATATAAAAAATATAAATATCACACTAGACAAAATTTAACACTTATCATGCGAAACCAAATCCACACTTAGTTGGTACAAACCTATGCAATCTCAATAACATTACATTGGAAAACATAAAACTAATATCATATCAAGCAAATTGTTACACAAAAAAAACCGATGGTAAAGTGTCACACTGATTTTAAAAAAAGTGGACTCTGTTTCTTATCCTGACTGGTCAGTAATGTGCTCACCTTGCATTGGTATTGTTCTAGTTGGATACGCACTCCACATAAGAGTTACAGACTATGAAGAATAAAACTTTCAGTGCTCTCCATTTTTCAACGAACGACAGTCCATGAGATGTAAACTATTCTTAAACAAAAATTTGATACCATTAAAATAAGGTAAACGGTTAAGAAATTTGCTGCAAAATGTTTTTTCTTAAATATCTGCAGAAACCATTGAGTATGAATATAAAGTTGGAATACCGAAATATCACGGAAAAACACTGACAAGCATTCATAGCAAGAAGGATGAAATAGTAAATCCTTAGTTTATTTTCATATGTGTATCGAGGAAGATGATATAATTATCTTAAAATGTACTTAGAATCAATGATTATCGTTCATAATCTATACCCTTTATCACTTCAAGCTTTACATTATTGACGTTTGCAATTACTCTGTTTATCGGACTGATCAGGTTCATCTTCAATACAAATAATTTCACTCTTCATATCTATTTACGTGAAACTATGTGAATTTTCTGGTCAAAACTGGTCAAACTTATATCCTCAAAATTTAGTTTTTATATATGTGTTTAGTGGTAGACTATGTACAAAGATATACACTTGATCTGACGTTCTGATTAATTCCACTTTATATTACCCATATTTATTCTGATCAGTAATTTCCTCATTTCATTTAACGTACAAATTTATCTAATTCACTATTTCATACTCAATCAGTCAGTCAGTCAGCTACAACGTAGGATCAAGCACATGTGTAATTTGCTATACCTCATTAACACAATAAGATGAACACCGAATTCACAGAAGTAGTTACTTCAATGGTGGTAATATATAAAAGAAAGATTGTGTATAGGAAAGAAAGAATTGGTTCGTAGAAATGAGGGTATAAAGTAGTTTTAATCTCAGTTTAAGGGAAAAAAGAGAGTGTTTACAACTACACCATTGTGATCGACTCTGGGCCATGTCATTCCGAGTTTCCAGTCATTAATTACGATAGTCTCGTGGACCCCAACCAAGTAGTCTGCATCTCTCAACATGGCTCAGACCAGAAGTCAGTGACTTCATGGACGTTTTAGTTTGACCGCTCCTAACTTTCTTCCATCCATCCTCAAAATTAGTCAGTATTACGCATCGTGGTAATCGGTGGTTAGGAATGTGTAATACGTAGTTTAACCATCTCAGTCAATGTAGATTCGTAACGCCATCAACTAATTTACCACCATTCCCTAATACTTATCTGCTGATCCCAGCAGATGCGAGCAATATTTCTAAGGCATCTGTGGTCAAATACTATTACCTGACTATTATCTTCTACTCTTAATGGCCACGTTTCGCAGCCGTAAAGTAAAACAAAATGAACTGCCACGCCATATGTGACGTAAGTTGACACAATCTAAACGAGCTTTTCGAATCCATGCAGAGATTTCGTCAGACACCAACCCATTAGGGACTTATCAGATTTCGATATAACATAGTAATCATATCAACATTAATAATTTTATTTTACTTGACCAACAATCTTGAATTTACATAATATAATTTTAAACGATTTGTTTTTCTTAAACATGGCCACCCTTTGAATTGTCAATTTGTTTGGAAAACTGTTGAACCTGAAGAAAATGTATTAAAAAGAACACTCTTCGTTCATGTATCAGTATTTTAATAGGATGGGAATTTTTAAATAGTTGAAAAACTAATAGTTAACAGTGGTCAACTTGTCAACGAATACAGATATCAGTTGGATTTAAATATTGCGATAGATTTATGTATACTACTGAAATCGGAAAAAATGTTGTAATTAACCTGAACAAACGTTTAGAATAAGTTATTCAATCAAATCAAACTCTTGAGTGAAACACCTGAACTTATTCCATATGATATACCTTGTCGATTGATAACAGTGACAAAGTAAATTATCTGTTTGACAAGTGCTACCGTACACTTACTCATCAACTGTAAATTGGATAATGTAGCTTGAAATGAACGATGATTAAATTGATATTTAAATGAGTTATATCTGATTGTCGGTATTTTCATTTAAACATCAATTTTCATGTGTGCTCCCTTATAGCTTTCCAATTAACTGTAATATGTATCAGAAGAGTTTTGTGAATATCATAGTAACTTTAATAGTTGAGATCATGAGTCAGTTGAAACTAAACCACTATGAAAGACCTGGAAGCACTGGACGGCCGTTTTGTCCTGCTGTGGGACTCCTCAGCAGTGCGCATCCGCAACCTCGCCTTGCGAGATGTGTGTTAGATAATGTTGGTTTACGTGTGTACTGATATTTTTCATTTAAAATGGCAGATAAATAATTTAAATGCAGTTATAGGTAATCATATAATTAAATTCACTTGGTATTGTTTACTTGAATGTTCCCATCGATGTTTAAGACTGCAACTGACCAATCTATTATTGGCATATATGTATACTGTGCTTATTGCCTCGATATTGCCTTAATTCACAAGCATTATAACCAAAAATGGATATTGGCTAGCAGGACGAAACGTGCGTCGTAGATTCCACTGCTAGCCACTATCCATCTTTGCTTATAGTTATATAATTAGACTAAAAACTAATCATACCTTGAAAACAATAAAAATTTTATGCAGCCAGTATTTCATTAAAAACGTTCATTACATGTGTTACATAGTTATTTCATTTGTATTTCTTTTCAGGCGAAAACACTGAAGATATACCACACAGATAACTTAGTAAACTATGAACAGCTCGATACCGAATTCGAGTCCCAATATGAACATCAACTATGATACGAGTGCACCTAACTGAAAAGTTCAAACTTGAACAACATGTGCAATCTGGATTTCACTGCTAGCTTCAACGTATCGTTTCTACAAAACTTAAAGTTCGTTTGCATTGCTTACTATTGGTAGAAATCACTGTACGTTTTCTTTTTTACAGGAACCTAAAATTTGTTGAATTTCTTTGACGTAGTTTTACTATCTATCAAACTATTCAAAATATAAATAATATTTGTTACGAATTACTAGACAATAATTCAATCCTGCGAGGGCGATCGGGAATTTTAACTGCTGAGGAGTCCCACAATAGAACGAAACGGCGTCCAGTGCTTCCATGTTTTTAATGGTGGTCTAACATCAATCGATTCATGATCTCAATCAAAAACAATTGAAAGAATTCTTGTTTGTAAAGTTTAAACATTGACGCCTATACAAATGATAGAAGTGATTTTTCAGTATAGTTCATTAATACTAATTATGTATTAGTTACAAGATACTGATTGTTTTTTTTACTTTATGATATTGTGAATGTAACATGTCATTCTAGAAATATTCAAAAACAATTAATTTCATTCGATTTTATTCAATATTAAATAAATTACTGACTTTTAAATGACTTTTTAAATAATCTTTCACTTGTCAGAGAGAAAAAAATTAACGACACAAAATTCAACGTTATTTCTATGTTACTTATGGTTGTGTTTCATGCCAACAATTTTGAAGGGAGGGGGATATTAGGAAATAACTTATTAGTTTTCTATCTAATTATGGAACATAAAGTTACTCTGTTTAGCTGACAAAAAAGTTCTATTTCAACTATAATCTTTATATATGAAAATGTCAAATACATACAGAAAAGCTATGAGAAGGTCCATAAATGAACATTCTGGGATGTGTGCCACCGATATCGACAGATACAAGTAGTATGTATTATTAGTCGAAAGTGAAATGCCTGGTGGTGGAAGGTTAAGAAGATATAAGAAAATAGAATGAGGATAGTGAATGATTGCTGTGAAAATTAAGGAACAATGAAGTTTGGAACGATTGATTGACATTCTGTAAATTAAGTATTTACTGTATGATTCTCAGATTTTACTAAGATTTTCTGTAATTTTGTGTTCAAATACATTCGATTGTTGCCATTTGTGTTCTATTACTTTACTAAACCTTTCCTTGCAATT